GAAAAACAAACAAAAAATACATTCCTAAGTCAAATTTTCAACTTTTTTGTTATATTTATTATATTTTTTGGTTTGGTAAAACGTGCCTACACTTTTAGTAACTAAGTAAAAAATGTAATTTTTGTAATTTTTTACTTTGTTTTGGCAAAATCTTTACAATTTTGTGCGTTTTTCGTCGAAAAACACTCCAAAACTTGCAATTTTTGACATTATCTTAACGATATTTTTTAAATTTAGTTAGTAGTTTCTCATAAATAAACGCTCTAAATTACACATTTTGTAATCAAAATTTTCAATGTTCTTCTTTGTTTCGACAAAATGTCTCGAATTTTGTGAATTTCTAGGTAAAAAAGGCTGTAAATATACAGATCTAATTTTCTTGGTGAAAAGTGGCCAAAACTTGTCAAAATAAGCGAAAATAAGGCATATTAGACACAATTTTACAATTTCCTACTTTGCTTTGGCTAAATCTTTAGAATTTTGAGCGTTTTTCTTTGAAACAATCAGATTTTTAATATAATTTTACAAAATGCGTTTTTCTCTAAATCTTTGAACTTTACTACAAAAGTAAAAATACCGTAATAATTTGTATTAAGTCCTCTATTGAATAATGAAAATCTGGAATCAATCGGGGCTATAGTTTAACTAAAAATTTTTTCTCAGTGAAAAACGCTCGAAAGTTATAAAAAATAAAAATAGACTAAAATAAAGCACTTTCACGTTTAATTTTGCAATTTTTGCATTGTTTTCTCATGTTTCTTGGTAAAAAAAATATAGATATTTTTTACACTCTGAGTAATTTTTAGAAAATTCTAAAATACTTGTTTTATGAAATAAAAATTTTTGATTTATTTTTGGGGATAAAATTGTTTTTTTATGTTTTTCAAAAATTGATTTTTTTGAACATTTTTTTATCTTGAAATATTAACCAGTGGGTAGTATGAATAAAAAGTAGCAACAGCTTTTGCAATAGTTTTGTCTCTTTCTTTCGTATAAAATCTAAATTACGTCTATCTTTTACTATTACAAGTAAAAGCATTTTATACATACGGCCCACTAGTATGTTGAAAAACAAACAAAAATAATATAATTTTGCATTTTTCTCTTTGTTTTTTTGCAAAATCTTTAATGACTTTTTCGTTAAAAACAATACTTTTAATTTAATTTTTCACTTTCGTTTTGACAAAACCTCTAAAACATTCTGAATTTCTCAGTAAAAATACGCATTTTGTTTAAAAAGAATTCATCAACACAAACAAGTTTAAAAGTTTAGTAAAATTTTCTGTTTTATTGTTTGTTTTGCAACATCTTTAATGACTTTTTCGTTAAAAA